AAAAAAAAGGGGCGAATTCGCCGGAGTGCGGTTCGGAGCGGCCAGCTCCGAGGACTGGAAGGGCCTTGTGCAGGGGCGCCCTCCTGCTGCCATGACGTAATTGCACGCACCACCTTTGAACACCGGCTGGCGCAGGCTCGGCATCTTGATCGCAACAACGCCTATTTTTACAGTACGCAGCTCAGGCAGTGGAGAGGATCACGGCTTATGGCGAATCTCCGAAAAAACGCCGATACGTCTGCAACAACAGCACCGCTCGACATTGCAGTTTTGACTGCGGTGTCTTTGGCGAGGCAGAGCAGGCCCGCGGTGGCCTTCGCAAGATACCGGGGCGTGTAAGTACTGTAGACGAGCGAATGTTTGGTTTTGGTTGCCGAGCGGTGCGCGAGGAAAAACGTGTCGCTAGGCGAAGCCGCGCGGCGTGGTTCGGCTCGAGAGCCTTCTGGCTTCATCTTTCGAGGACGCCGCGAGCTAAGCGAGATCCCAAAGTCACCCTAGCGGGTTCAGCCCCAACCCCGCTCAGCGCGGGGGGCGTGGATGGCGTGGACTAAGGTGGTCTGCGTGGTCGAGGCGACTCGCGTGTGCTCCGGCACAGTGTATACCCGCAGCTAGTAGGCAGCATCCGACCCCGCGGATTCTGGGGACGCCGCATTTCGCCTGGCTAGCGAAGTGCTGTCCAAATACGTCCCGAGCCAGGTGGGGGCTCGCTCCGTCGCCTCTCGCCTAGATATCCGCCAGCCCGGACGCTGCATCCGTAAGCGGCCGCGCTACGAGCTGATCAGCGTCCCACTCAGCCGATTTCCAGGCGAGTTGGCCAAGCGCCCAGGTCAAGGTGGCGAAAGGCGTTATCGGGAGCAGGTGCACAAATCTCCGGCACCTGCGAGCTCGACGACTGCGGTGAATTTTAGCAGCTCTCACCATGCACCTTCAAAACATATTGTCAACGAACGCAGCCGTCGGCATTGGTTTTCACGTCGAGTTGGAACGTGCAATATCAGCTGTTGATGGTTTGAGAGTATCAGCGTGGACGAAGGGGGTGGCAGTTTCGAACTTGTCCACGCAGAGAACGGCCTGCCAGAACCGCAGGCGGGTCAAAACTAGACTCAACCCGGAGCCTGTCGTAGGCGCTCCAATCACAGACCTTGGGGCGGTTAGCGGAGGCCGAACAGGCAGATCTGCATTCTGTAACCTGGCCGGCCTTGGCTCTTGAGGTTGCATCCTCTCTTTCCGAATCGTACCCGGCGATGCGGCGAGGCGACGCAGATGGGTTGAGGGCCACCCCGGCCGGAACGCCAAAAGTTCCCATGCATGCAATGCTGCAGGTTTTAGCTCGCCAACGACCACATGCTCGGCCCACGGGAGCCTCTGGCTCTAACGCCCCGCCGTGCTGCGCTTGCGCCCGTCCTCTCTCCAGTCCTGCAGGCATGAACGGATGGCTGCAGCGGGCATGCATGGGTCCGCGACCGCAGCCGCGGTTGATGAACATCGGGCAGGAGCGCAGTCTTCTGGCTCGCGACGAGATGCGCTCAACTCGCAATTCAGAACCAGCAGAGGTGGCGGTCGGATCCGAGCTTGAATTGATGACAGTCTGTTAGAGCCTGTATTCCTCCGCCTTCGCGGATTTCGAGCCTCGCTTTGCTCGAAACGTCGTCGTCACGAGTCGTTCGGTCCCATCGCAGGGTGTCGACTCGCAACCTCGAGACCGAGCACGAACGTCCCGATTCTGGTCAGCGCTGCCATCATACTGTAGCAGATGGGGACGCTTGTTGGTTCGAGTGGGTCCGAATCTTGACCGCCCACCGACTTCATTGGAAGCCGTCGCCCACCCGCATCCGCTCCCAGGAGGCCGGTAACTGTACTCTCCACGGCGTAGATGAAGTAACCTTCTTGATCAGACGTCGGTGAATTGTCAGATTCGATGAAAGCGGAAGGCGAAGCTCTGGTTCCGTGGCTTAAGCTCTAAGTTTCGCTCCGATCCGACTCCCTCCCGACGTCCATGAGAAACATCCAATCTGGACGTGATGAGGGCGGCGCCATCCCGTTTCAGAAGTCAAGACGAGGTCGGGGCATGCCAAGATATAAAGCAGAACGATGCGACAGCCGGGTGGGGTTGCAAAAACCTTGGTCATGCATCATCAGTAGCCCCCACACTCAATGTGCCCCGTGAGCATCTGCGCCAAGCATGTGTACTTCTTGAACTCTCGCTGGCTCCGATACGTTCGAGATGAAGCGGCCTACTCTTGGCAAGCCACATGTCGCAGAAACTTCCCGCAGACCGGTCTTGTAAGTGGGCGTCTTCTTGCACGTTTTGCTTCCGGCTGCGGTACGGTAGGAACGTGCTCTTGGCCACAGCATCCTGGGAGCGGGTTGACACACAACGGCCTTGGCGTGACCCGCTTGCGTCATCAGAGAGCTGCTCCCATGCAGCTACACGCAGCTTTCTTTGTCCGGATCGAGTCAGACTGTGGACTCAGCGGGCGTGACTAGCGGATAGCTGTCAGCGTTCTGCGACGCAGAGCATGCCGGCCAGCGGCTCTTGCACGTCGAGCGAAGGCGGTACCCCATCCAAACAGATATAACACGACTCAAGTCCGAGTCGCTTCCTGGCTCTCCTCATCCACTCTGGCTCTCCTCATCCACTCTGAAAGCTGTCAAGTCAAGAGACCCCTCCATCAAGAACAAGCGCACGTCAAGCAATCGCTCAGTATGTTCAACCTTCGACTTCCATCCTTTTCCCGTCTGGTCGTGGCAGCAGTGCTGTGCGCCATGCTGGTGGTCTCTGCATTTGCCGGACTTATCCCAAACGTCGTCTCGAGCACCGAATTCGTCGCTCATACCAAGGGCGGGCTGGTCAGAGCCTTCGAGTCTGATGGCAAGTGGCTCGTCGAGGGCTTCGAGGACGCACTTGATAACGCTGTTTCCCTCCGCAAGTCAAGCTCCTTCGGCCGCATGCTTCCCGGCCACGAGGTGACTTTCACGCCAACCACCTCGGGCGTCACCGTACACAACCCGGATTCGCGATTCCACACCATCAGGTTTGCCGGAAGTGCCCAAACCTGGCTCCTCTCCCCGAGATCCAAGCAGACTTTCGACGGCATCACAAAGCTCCAAGCCCAGCGAGCAAGGCTGTTCAAGCTTAAGCCTGACGCTCAGATCAACTACGCCGAATAGCTTGCAACGCTGCAAAGTCTTCGAGACGAGCCAGCCCGGCCGTCGCGTCCTGTTCCACTGTACGCTAGTCTGGGCAAAGAGCCGGCCTCGATCGATGGTGCTCATACGTGTAACAAGACAGTGCTCAATAGAGATGCGCCACAAACTGGGTGTCATATTTATGAGAAAGTGTAGGAACTGTACAGGATCTTTTGCTTACGAAGAAGGCGTCGTCTAGACGTAGCGCTCCTCGAGGGCAATGCCCTCCTTCTCGAGCTCGAGACGAATGGGGTCGCAGATGTCCTTGGTGTAAGGAGCCAGGATGCCGACCTTGGTGAGAGCCGGGTGGCCCTCGAGGATAAGACGGGTAGCAATGGCGCAAGGGACACCGACGAGCTTGGCCATCGACGAGGTTCCGTGGGGGATACCGTAGTCGAGCAGCGTCGAGGTGAGGGTCTTGTGCTCGCCGTTGGCGGTCTCAATCTCGAACTTGTGCTGGAGCATGACCATGTCGCGCTCGCCGGGAGCGTAGGCGCACTTCTCCTCGAGGGTAGCGCAGAGCGAGTCGAGAGGGTTGCCGGCCACCTTGCCGGCCTCCTGCTGGGCGGTGCCGCGCACAGTGACGGGGGCCTTGGTGGAGAAGAGGTCGAGCCAGCGCAGACCGCGGATGATGGTCTCCTCCTCCTGAGCCGACTTGAACGAGACCTTGGTCTTGATGGCAGCAATGAGGTCGGTCTCGGCATTGGAGGCGGCACCGACCATCTTGGCGGTGACGTCGGCCCACGAGGCCTTGGTGCCGTAGGCGAGGAAGTCCTTGGCCTCCTCGTCGAGGAAGCCGAGCTTGACGAGAGCGAGGATGAACTCGGGGAAGCCCTGGTATCGGAGGGTGCCGCGGATCACGGTCTCGGCCTCGGGGATGTTGTACCACTGCTTGAAGGGAGTCGAGTCACGGTTGGGGTAGGCGACAAAGGCGAAGGCAGGGTTGATGTAGAAGCTCTGGGCAGCCGCCATGAGCTCCTGTCCCGAGACAGTGAGCTCCTTGCCGTCCTGCCAGAACTTGGCCGTGTTTCGGAGTGCGAGGAGCACACCGCGCGACGACCAGGAGAACTTGTATCCGAGCGGGTTGTCAGCCGCCTCGGGGGCAGGCAGACCACCGCAGTAGGAAAGGAAGGACTTGATCTTGCCGCCTTCGGCGTGCACGTCGTCAATGGCCTTGACGGCGTAGAGGTGGTCGAGACCGGGGTCGAGACCGATCTCGTTCATGACGGTGATGCCGGCCTTCTTGATCTCCGGCTCGAGCTCGCGGATAGCGTCCGAGACGTACGAGGTGGTGACGACGTTGACCTTGTGCTCGCAAGCGGCCTTGATGACCGAGGCATGGTAGATGTAAGGGATGAGCGAGATGACAACGTCGTGGCCCTTGATCAGCGCCGAGAGTGCGGCAGGGTCGTTGACGTCGACCGAGGTGGCGGTGGCATTGTGGAGACCCTCGATGAGGCGCTGCGAGTGCTCGATCTTGACCGAGGCGACGGTGAGGCTGTACTCGGGGAAGCGGGTGACGTACTCGGCGAAGGGCTTGGCGACGTAGCCGGAGCCGAGGAGGAGGATCTTCTTGGGAGCACGCTGAGCCTTGGCGTTGCCCTCGCCAGTGGGGATCACACGGCCAGGGGCGGGAGCACCCTCTTCGATGACCTTGCGAGCGAACTCGGGGACGATGAAGGAAGCCTTGTGCACCTCGGAGTTGTAGTATCGGCAGTCGGGCACCTGGCGGAGGGGCTCGCGAACGTTGCGGTTGGCGTCGAGCGAGCAGACGACGAATCCGATCTGACCGGACGGGTAGGTGGGGATGGTGGTGAAGGCGTAGTCGGCGACGGGGAAGAGCTCCTTGGTGGAGCGGCGGAGCTCGCCGATGAGGTTGAGGTGGATCCAGACGCACTCGGCCTGGGTGGAGATGTGTCCTCCGGGCTTGAGGGCCTCCTTGAGCAGGGCGAAGTAGGGCTGCTGGAAGAGCACCTCTGCGGGGCCGACCGGGTCGGAGGAGTCGGTGATGATGACGTCGAAGCTGGCCTTGTTCTTGGGGTCCTTGAGGAAAGCAAAGCCGTCGCCGATGATGACCTTGGACTTGGGGTGGTTGAGACCCTCGGCCATCTTGGGGAGGTACTGCTGGGAGACACGGGGGACGGCCTCGTCAATGTCGCAGAGAATGGCCTCCTTGACCGAGTCGTGCTTGACGACCTCGCGGAGGACACCGCCGTCACCGCCGCCGATGACGAGAACGCGCTCGGGGTTGGGGTGCGAGGCGATGGGGAGGTGAGCGATCATCTCCTGGTAGGAGAACTCGTCACGCTCGGTGCACTGGATGACACCGTCAAGGACGAGGACGTTGCCGAAGGTGGTGGACTCGAAGACGAGCACATCCTGGAAGAGCGACTTCTCGTGGTGGAGGATGCGCTGCACCTGGAGGCTCATTGCCTGACCGGGCCACTGCGAGTTGGTCTCGTGGAACCATCCATCGCGGATGTTGGGGTGAGTGATGACGCCCATTTTTTTGCTTTCAAAGGTGGGACCGATGGAAGAGGAGGATGAAGGAGGTGGTGGTGGAACGACAGGAGCGTGGGCGGAAAGAGCTCACCTGTTGACGCCGCCATGGCCGACACTCTCGGCCTGGTGCCGAATCCAGTCGCACCCAAAAGGCGTTGGTCCGTCACATCTCTGCGCTGTGCAGTGCCGCTTCGGCCTGTCCGACGTGAAGGCAGCTTCCGATGAGCCCTGCATCTCTCTCCACCTGCTTCGAAAGCGGCATCAGAGCACACGAGTTTGTTGTTTCTTCTCCTGCTTTCTTCCAGCTCACCCCGACCGGCACAACGCCTCACAAATTTTCTTCGCGCAAAAAAAAAAGTGATTTTCTTCCTGCTGGACCGTGAGCGAGCCGCTTCGGCCAGACTCCGAAGCGAACAGACCACGACAGTACACCACGCCTTACAGCTTTAGCCAGCTTTCGCCAGCCCAAGCCTAGCTGCCTCCTTGAGCATGCGAGCGATTGATGCGCGTCACGATGTTTGCTAGATTCTATCGCTAGCCAGGTACTACATATCCTCCGTCTCGCTGCGACTTTGTCTTCGCCGTCAAGATGGAAGTTGCTCTGCTAGGAAGAGAGGTGTTGCCGCACGGTGAGATCCCGAGGCATTTCGGCCAATCTCCGGCGCGATTGTGATTTTGCAGAAGTGAATGCACTCTCACGGCTTAACATGATGCCACCATGTCACGTGACCAAAGTGGAGCCAGGACCCTCCTGCATGCTTGCTTCTTGCTCGACACTTTGCTTGCAAGCCATCCAACACCATCACGATCAATACGGACGGCTGCCCTCTTCACTACCTCTCAACAGCGGCGCTGAATCTACTGCATCTGCTACTGCGACGCAGAACGGCGCTGAGGCACGGCGACTGTGACCATGTCAGGCTCGCAGCCGCCTCAGGGCGCAAACATGCCTGGCATGGACATGCCGAACTTCACCGGCGAAGGCGTCATACCGGCCTCGTTCTTCGACATGCCCCTCGAATTTGGAGGAGGCGCTGGAGATGGCGGCCAGTACTATCAGCCAATGTCTGGCTTTCCGATGGGCGAATTGCCAATGTCGCAAGCGTCCGACTTCGACGCGCTGCAGGCCCAGATTGCCGCCAGTGTGCCACCGATGCCCACGGCCGCGAACCCGGGCTTTATCCCACCGATCAATGCTGCGATGTCCTCGTCACATCCACTATCCGTAGTCAAGATGGAGACGGATGAGCCGACTTCGGCTGCCGGCTCGTCGCCGATGACCGCCGGTCCATCCACGCCCAAGCCGGCTGCGCCCAAATCCAAAAAGGCTCCTGCCAAGCCCAAGACGGAGTCGGGTGAGACGAAACCCAAGAAGCCCAAGAAGAAAGCAGCTGCCGCGGATGGCGCAGAGTCATCCAAGGGGGAAGAGGCACAAGCAGCGTCACCAGCGCCAGTCAAGCCGAAGAAGCCTAGCAAGAAGAAGAAGGCCGACAACAAGGATGCACCCGCGTCCGCCGCTGCCTCGCCCGCACCCTTCATCACCCCTGTATCTCCTGCCAAAGACGCCAAATTAAAAGGCAAAAAGGCGTCCGGAGGAGCGAAAGCAGGCGCCAAGTCGGCTGGCAAGCAGAGGTCGTCCACGGCTAGGTCAGTTTCGCGCATGTCATCGGTGGGCAGAGAAGCAAACACGCCTGGCGCCTCGCGGACTGCTAGTCAGCGACCGGCCGATGCTGAAAACAACGACGAAGAAGAGGCTCCTCGCGAGGCGCCGCCTGGAGAGGATGACGCAGAGGACGAAGAGGTCGAAGCTGACGACGGAGTGGAAGAGCTCGGCAAGGACCACTTTTCGACACAGGAAGCCATCTATGCAGCGCAGCAGCGTAACATGGGGTGAGTCAGCCTTCGGGTCGCAAGCTCAGTCTCTGCGCCGACATTTACTGACCCGTGATCCGAAACCCAATGTGATGAAACAGTCTGCTGTCCATGGTCATGGATGAAGACCAATTGGACCGCCACATGGCGTCGCGTCGAGGCGCTCTCAACAAGGCGAGCGTTCGAAAGGTGAGTTCTTGCAACCGCGGCCGCCCTCTTTGTCCGCATCCATTCCCTGACATTTGCTGCCGCCACGCCGCTCGCCACAGCTTGTCAACCACGTGCTCTCCCAATCGGTCTCGCAGCATGTAGCCATGGTCGTCTCGGGCGTGGCCAAGATCTTTGTGGGCGAGATCATCGAGAAGGGTAAGCATCGCGGCCATCCGCATCAACACGTTACGGTCGTGCACTCAGAGCTGACCTCGTTGTTTTCGGGCGCTACAGCACGCGAGATCCAAGCTGCGCGCGACGAGTCGGGCCCGCTGCGTCCCAACCACCTGCGCGAGGCACATCGCCAGTACTATCTCCAACGCGAACGGCCGGGTCACTATCCGCCCGGCACCACCGCAGGCTTCCCGGGCCTCGGAAAGCGACGACGCATGTTCTGACCGCACGCAGCCTCTGTTATATTCTGTCTCGACGCAACCTGTATTAGTATCGACAATTACATCCGCATCCAAGCGCTCAAAGCTTTGCGGCAACGTCGCGCTTCTGGCGCAGATCTTCTGGCGCGAGCTTCTTGGCCATCTCGCGCATTTCGCGACGCAGAATCTTGCCCGAAGCGGTCTTGGGGATCGCATCGATGCTGCGTGCGCCATAGAGCTGGGTCAGTGACGGGATCAGGAGTAGGTCAGGGCGCGCTTTGGACCAACTTACAATGCTACACCGCACAGGTGCTTGTAACGGGTCTTGTTGTCCGCGACAAACTTGAGGATGGACTGGCGGATTTCGTCTTGCTGCTTGCTGCCGCCGGAAGCGGCGCGTTTCTTGGCGTCCTGCGAAAGCGCGATGAATGCAAACGGCAGTTCGCCTGCGGATTCGTCCTGGACTCCAATCACGCCCGCGTCCGATACGTCGGGATGGTCGAGGAGGAAGCCCTCGAGCTCAGCGGGCGCTACCTGGAAGCCCTTCACCTTGATGAGCTCCTTGAGACGGTCGATGAAAAAGACGTCGCCGTTCCTGTCGATCTTGACTTCGTCGCCGCTGCGCAGCCAGCCTCCTTCCACATAGGTCTCGCGCGTCGCCTTTTCGTTGTTCGTATACCCGAGTGTAATCTGGGGCCCACGCAGCCAGAGCTCACCGAGCTCGTCGTAGCCGACCTCCTTGCCCTCCGAATTGACCACCTTGGCCTCGGTGTTGGAGAAGAGACGTCCTGCGGATCCCATGACGACAGGCTCGCCCACGGGGAACATGGTCGTGACCGAACACGTCTCGGTCATACCGGATCCCTGGCCCCAGTCGAGCTTCGGGAAGATCTTGCTGAACTGCCTGCTCAGGTCTTCGGACAGTGGTGCCGCGCCGACCATGGCGAAGCGCGCCACCTTGCGCAGCTCGTCCAGGTACGGCGGGACGCTTGGGTCCTTGCAGAAGAGCACCACCATGGGCGGCACGAGCCACCACACGCTGATCTTGTACTTGATGATGGTCTTGATCATGGCCTCGATGCCGCGGAACTTGCTGATGACAACGTTGGCAATGCCGGCGTAAAAGGGAAAGTGCGTACAGGTGCTGAGGCCAAAGATGTGAACCTGGGGCAGGACGCCAAGCGAGACGTCTTTGCCCGGGCAGAAGCGTCCTTTGGCGCCAAGACTGCTGCCGACCTTGTTGAAGGCCATGGTTTGGAGTGCGTTGGAAGTGACCGCAAAGTGCTGGATCGCAACGCCCTTTGGTAGCCCAGTGGTGCCCGAGCTAAAGAGCAGGAACGCAATCTTGGTCTTGGCCTCGCCTGGCTTGAGCTTGTACCGTGTAGAGGCGAGGATGGCGTCGCCCTTGGCCTTGACAATGTCACGACCTTCCTCGATGAGGCCGGCGAGCGTCCATGCGCCCTGCGACTTGCGCTGGATGCGGCCGTAGTTGGACTCGGAATACTTGAGTACGGTGTAGGGTTCCTGGATGATGACGATGCGGTCGCGCGGGATGTTGGCGATCTTCGCGGCCTCGAAAGCATTCTTGAGCGAGGCGGGATCCTCGCTCACGAAGAGCAGCTTGGAGTTGGACTCGTGGATCTGTAGGCCGAGCTCTTTTGCCATGAAAGCAGCGTTGGCGGGCGAGACGACGGCACCGAGACGATGCATGGCCCAGATGGTGGCAGGATAGTAGATGCTGTTGGTGGCATAGATGGCAGCACGCGTGTCGGGCTTGATGCCGCACTTCTCTGCCAGCGCGACGGAGAGAAGCTCGGTGTTTTCTTTGGTCTCTTCGAAAGTCCATTGCTGGGCGGTTTGCTCGTCGATGAAGAGCGGGAGGCCGGTGTTGCGCGTATCGGGACGAGATGAGGGAAAGTATTCAAACAGAAAGCCATAGACATCGAGATGATCCGGAAGCTCCTTGACCGGCTCAGCGGCGGATGTGAAGATCATGTTGGCAGGAGTATCAAGCGCTGCAGAAAGGACGATGAGGTGGCCAGGAGGAAGGAGGGGTCGTATATGAAGGAAAACTGGAGGGAGGAGAGCGGAAAGGAGCCAACGAGGGTGATGAAGGAGAAGCTCCTACGAGATGCTCGGCACAAAGTCGAGACTCGAGATGCCAAAGTCAATGCTTCGTGGCGGGAGCCGAGAGGAGTTGCGCCGTGCGAACCTACCTGTCCTGCCGACTCTCATGGACAACCGCCCCGGCTAATCCACCGCGCCGAGAGCCGCGAGTGGAGGAGGCGACAAAGCCTTTGTGTTGTGCTCAACTCGAATTCCACCCTGCGCCAGACTCTGAGCTCAACGCCGGCATACCCGCATCTCGCCGAAAGCTGAGGGAACGACATCCCCCGCGCTCCAACCAGCCTGGATCGTCTGAACGCGGCGGATGATTGCTATCCTCGCTCGGCCGACTTTCGGTGGCGTTCGGGTCAAGAAGACATCCCGCCGTCAATCTAGGCTTCGTACAGCTAAAGAGAGAGAGGCAGACATTTGTCGGGACGAGCTGTCTTGACAAGTCGACAAAGATCCAAATCTTCATATAGTCGAGCTCGGTGATCCATTGCGCGCGCCTGAAGCTTCAACCTGTATTGAAGGCGGCATGGAGATGAGCCTGCACTGTGTTGACCCGATGCTCTGCGGGGGGGGTATTGGCTCACTGGTCTTGGCTTGCGTATTTCCGCATCTCCGCACGAGCCACGTCGAGCGCTGCTTCTCTCGCCTGCACCTGACTGCGGCTGCACACCGCAGAATTGCAGTCGCCCGCGGCCGGATGAACCAAGCCCTGTCGGATTGCGCGGACTCCCACCCAAAAAAAAAAAAA